AGCAATCATAAATGCAACGTTAGCAAACACAAAATTATAACTATAAATAAGTACTAAAATATAGCTTTAATATCATTATCCATAACTTTACATAAAATTATCATAAATATTGTATCAGCATATAAGTTAATTATCACATCTATCTTACTAACACAATGTCCATAACTTTAAGGGCATTATCCATAACTTTAAGAGCATAATCCATAACTTTAAAAATAATAACAATAACTTCAGAAAAGGGTACTTACGTTTCAACATCAGAATCAAAATCATCTCTCTCTAATATACTTTCAACAGCTTCATCTTCTTCAGCATCAGAATCCAGTCTGTTTCTATTTTCAATTTTGACAGCCTTGTCAACCACTCTCCGCTTCTTCTCAGCCGGACAACGATCATCCTTATTAGCTCCTTCTCAGCAGGACATACATTGTCCTTCACCATTTTCCGCTTCTTCTCGGCCAAACGACGATAATTTTTTTTTGGTGTTTTTTTCAACAGGAGCATTATTGGATGCCTTAGCTAGCTTTTTCTCAGGACGACGATAATCCTTTGCTGGATTTTTCTTAGCTGGACGGCGATCATCCTTTACCGGCTTCTTTGCTTTCACACTCAATTTTCTTTATTTCTTATTACTCTCAACATATTCTTCCTCACTTACTTCTTGTTCAGAATCCTCCTCACTTCCCTCCTCATCATCACCCTTATCCTCTTCTGAACCCTCCTCATCATCACCTTCATCCTCTTATAAACCCTCCTCCTCATCACCTCCATCCTCTTCAGAACCCTCATCCTCATCACCTTCATTCTGCTTGGAACCCTCATCCTCATCCCTCCATCAGAACCCTCATCCTCACTTTTATCCTCCTTCACGGCACCCTTCTTTACTGCAGCCTCCTTCACTACACCCTTCTTTACTACAACCTCCTTCACTACACTCTTCTTTACTACAACCTCCTTTACTACACCCTCCTTCACTGCAGCTTCCTTCACAACACCCTTTTTTATTGCAGCCTCCTCTACACTGCCTCCCTTCTTTCAACCCCTTTCCACATTAACATTAACTTCATTACTTACATCATTAGCACCTGTAGAAAATAATAGTATTAAACTGTAAATCATAACTTTAACTAAAAAAAGGTATAACTACAACTATAATTAACATAACTTTTATAAAACAATCAAACATATAATAAAACATAAAGCATAACTTAAGCAAACATTTATATAACTATAACAAGCTGACAATGCTGAACTTTATGATTAACATAACTTTAACTAAAAATAGTATAACTATAATAAAAATAACTTTTATAAAACAATATGACATATAATAAAACATAAAGCATAACTTAAGCAAACATTTATATAACTATAACAACTAATTTTGTAACTTTAACAAATGTACAAAAATCAAGAAATTGTAACTGTTAATAGAGAAATTGGTAAAACCTTGAGCATCATCAGATCCACCCACAGAGCTTCGCAAACCACGTCTCCTTCGAAAATTCAAAAGACCACCACTAAACTTCACCATCACAAATTCAAGAAATTAAACCCTAAAATTCAAAATAAGAACGATTAATTAATCAAATACTAACATCAACAACAAATTGAATGAAAATGCATGAAAAAACTGGAAAAAAAACTAGTAACACCTAAAACATTCAATCTAATATGAACACAATGAACCAGGAAACCATAAAATATGAACAAAATTACGATCAAAAACAAAAAAACCAAAAATCAAACTATATACTTACGAATACAACAAATTACAACAAAAACAAAGAATTCTACTTAAAAATTGAAATAAAGTAGAGAATACACATGCAAAATGAAAAACCATAACAAATCAACAATTACAACAACTAATGAACAAAAATTATGCGATTAAAACCAAAAATAATTTAAAAACTAACCTCAAAAACCGATGAGAATCCAAAATTCAATTCGTCAACTAAAGAAAATCAACAAAACAAAGGAAAGATGAAGAGAAATTTCAGAGAAATATGAACAGAGGAGAGAGAAATTGCAGAGCAGTAGCAGAGAAATAAATTGGAGAATAGAGTAGAAGAGTATACGCGCTAAAATGAAAAAAAAAAAAACGAAAAAAATATAACCGCTGGACTGGCACATGTGAGTCCAGTCCAGTCCAGAAGAGAGAAGTGGGCTGGTTTTACACTAAGTTAGTGTAAGCCGGCCTTTTTCAAGAATTTGTGTTTTGCAATTGTATTTCACCGAGTATTTATAGTGAAAGCACACTTCTAATAATAGCCTTACACAAGTCATATATTTCAACTTATAGATTACTAGCCTTATGAAAAACATTTCTATGCATTAAATGTCTTATAGTTCTACTGTGAATCATGGCTTGGGCATTCACATTGAGTATTCACATCTCATAACAAATTATTTTTACTAAATTGAATTTATTTTTACCAAATTAAATTTATTTTTTCTTAACTTAATTTTATAGAATTACATGTTTATGGTTTATATACATGATTACAACAACTAATTGAAAATTGTTGTACAAAGTAAATTTTCAGAACGAACATTACTATTATCATGAGCGGATACTTGAGCCAAGGTCCACCCATTACCCAAAAAAATTCAAGGTTAGCCCAATGTTTTACTTCAATGGTAACCTGATTCGTATCTTCTTCAAATAAACAAAAAACATGTAGTTGTGAAATTGCAATGTGAGAGACCCATCTCAATTTTTGCTTCCTCTAAATTAAACATTGTACTTTGTAATACTTTAGATAAAAGGTACTTTTGCACGAAGTGTAAAGCTACTTATTTTTTCTCAATTGCCTTAAACATGATTATTTATATTTATTTGTAGTAAAACAAACACAAAATTGATTCCAATGCAAGAGCATCTAAATGCTTTTCTTATTCATCCCTAATCAATTCATACTACAATCATTAATTCATTAGAATTCTCTTTAGAGTTGCTTTTTTAAATTAGGAAAAATTGTCAAGAATAATACGACCTTTCAACAGTCTTCTAAAAATAAAACGACCTTCTAATTATTCTGTAATAAAACGAACTTTGACATACATCTGCTATAAATAAATAGGATAAAAAACCGTTAACCTATCTCATGGGTTAAAGCGGACACTTGTCGCGATGTCATTGTTCAAGAATTTTTTTTTATTTTAAAAATTTTCTTTTAATAATAATAATAATGAATTAAAAAAAAAATAAAAAAATCCCCTCCCCATTCCAGTTTAGCAGCGTTCCCCCTCTCCCTCCCCGACCTCCTACCTCAGCGTTTCCCCCACCCCAACTCTAACCCGACCCTTTCTTATCTCCAAACCACCAGAACATGAGACCATACCTCGACCCTGACTTTGTTTTGAGTGGTTCAACCATGGTGGAGGGTGGGTTTAATGTTATGGGGCTCGTCCATTGATGGGGTGGGGTTTCAGGGCTCTTGGAATTGGAGGCTAAGGTGAGCTGGTTATATTGTGGAGGGGTAGAGGGTTTTGGGCTCTGTGGAAGGAATGGAGTGGTGGTTTCGGTCAGGCTACTAGGGGCTAGGGTGGGGGTATGTCGGAGTTGTATTGTGGAGGATAGGGTGAAGGCGGGCTGAGGTTTCGTCGGGGCTACTATTGGGGTCTCCGGCGACGGCTAGGGGATTCGTTGTTGGTGAGGGATGAAGTGGTGGTTGTTGACGAGAATGGCTAGGTTTGACAGGGTGGGAGCTGTTAAAGGTGTTTTTTTTTTTCAAAATTAAAATCATTTTTAAAAAGAAAATTGTATAAAAAAAAAACTTGACGAATTACAGCGCGACACATGTCACAATTTACCTACCAAACAAGTTACCAACCGGTTACGTCCTAATTTGAGCAAATGCATATTAAATGTCATTTTATTTCGAAATAATCAAAAGGTTATTTTATTTTTGGAAGACCAGTGAAATATGGTATTATTCCTGAAAATGTTTCCTTTAAATTAAAAAGCAACTTTATTTATTTTTATTTTAAAAACATTAGATTCAATGGAAATAAACCGTAAGATTTTTTTTTTGCATTTTCCCTCCATTTTTACTTCCATTAGTGGCACCATAGGTGAGTAAATGGTAATGTTTAATACTTTCACAGCAAGTTAGCAATCATGTTTAGTAATAGCTGATAGTTGATTGAAATAGTGGGTTGTAATACTTGTTTGATTAATTGGTTGTATTAATTGATTTGAATAGCTAGTAGTTGATCGTGTAAAAATGTTTGGTAAATAGTTGTTAATTGTTAACTATATTAGAGTGTGTAATAACCAAAAAGCTAAGTGTTCAATAATTTAATTTCAAAAGGCTCCTATGATGAGTTTTTTCTAAAATATTTTCTTTGAGCACAAAATGTTTTTTAGTAAGTTATTTACCAATCCTCCAAATTAGTTTTACAAATGGTCAAACCTTAAATAGACCTCAATAAGTTAAAACCTCTTCAAATAAACTCAAAATAAAGTGGTGAATTGCCTTTTATTTTTCCCAAAACATCATTGAAATTACAAGGAAAAGAAAAGGATACTCCCTCCATTTTTTATTTTTTTAGGTTTTTCTAAGCTATGCCCCTAAGGTAGTCGAGTTTCTAAGGTGTACCTATACTTTTTCAAATTTCTAAGTTGTGCCCCTCAACTCACTACCATTAATGAATGATACCCTCTTTTGGATTTCCACGTCACCTAAAGTTAACTATAAATTTAATAAAAAGATGAAAAAAGGTAAGGAAATGATAGGAGAAAGAAATCTTAGCCACCGCAACCCAATAACGAAAACTGAAGCCACGAAATCACACTGTCAATTAACTTTTAAACAACTAATAAGGGTACATTTTAGTATTGATAAGCAGTTGAAGGGCACGGCTTAGAAACTTGAAAAAGCATGGGTACACCTTAGAAATTCGACTACCTTAGGGATATAGCTTAGAAAAACCCTATTTTTTTTTAAAGTGTTACACTTTAACCAAAACATTATTGAAATTACAAGAGTAGGTTGGCAAAAACGAAGTGCAACACTTAAAAAACTAAGGGAGTAATAACTTCCCTTCAACCGATGTTCTCCAGTTGCTGTATCTAATTTTACATGCACACATAGTCTTGCTTAAGATGAGAGCTAGTAACCTCACACTGTCACACAAGTCCTCTTGGTAGCTGTTACCACATCCTAAACTCCCCGCCTTTCCGATAAGAGATGAGAATCGACTTGCCGCAAAGAGGGAGAGAGAAAGAGAGAGGAGTAAACCATATACTGTATATTCATAGAGGCAAAGATACTAAAACACAATTATTAATACAGAAAATTGCCAAGCATAAAGTTAACTGTAAAAAAAATGGATTGTGATGGTGATCACAAGATCTATTATACACAGGCCGTATATATCTGTTCCCCTAACAAGGACAAGTGAAATCTCATTTAATTTCAATCATCAATCCATAACGAGCAGCTTGCAGGCTATTCATCTACAGCAAAATCAAATCACTCGAGTTTCTCCAATTCACCCATCCTTTCAATGATAGCCTGCAATACAACAGTTTGAATTTTTCAATTTTCAGAAGAGATTCAAGCTACCATTATCATTCAGCAAGCTTCGGGCAAAGTAAAACCGTGAGGTAAAAGACTCAATACATGAAGTGATAAACTGTATTGTGGTGATAAACTGTATTGTAAGGTGCTAGATGGAAGGGAAACAGATAAAGGCCACAGCTAAGAAGCCAAAAAAATGAACAAGAAAATGAAGCAGCAACGGTAAGGACACTCACCTTCTTACTCGTTTCCTGAAGCTCTCCAGCAAGGATAAACTCATCAAGTATCAGGTAAACCTATACATAAATTAAAAGAGGGAATTAAGAAACCAGACATCACTGAAAAAGACACAAGTACAACCAAACCTACAGAACTGGCTCATCAACTACATCAGACTGTAGATCTGTGTAATTTAAGAAATACTCACTTTACATCGGACTATGGGAGGTACTTTACTAATGTACACTGACCATTTTTTCAAAGAAACACAAAAGGCTGAAGACTTGCTCAGATAGATGATACTAGTAATACGATTTTTCTGAACTAAGAGAGACAGACCAGAGGCTTGCCAAGAAGCAGAAGCCCCTAAAATTGGTTAGTGCCAACAACTCAACAAGTTGTAAGCAGCAATAAGGTTCAAAATCTACACATAGATAACTACTCTAGTCAATTGGATATCATAACATATAAAGTCATGTAACATTACTTATATTGGAGAGCACAAACATACAAGTTTGGTATGATACCTAATCATTCAAGGCATGAATAATTGCAAAAGCAGAAATTTGGCTTCTTATAAACTTAAGTGAAAAAGATGGAATAAAAGATAACTTTTTAAATTGAGTTGAACCATGATAGAAAAAGAAATTGTCAAATATAGCACAGACCTTGTGAAAATTGAAGACTAAATCCAGCTCACAAACATTGCTGAAAAAGTGGTCCAATATCTCCACAAAGAGATGAATGCACTCCAGGTATGCTAACTCATTATCAGTGATGTCAACGCACATGGAGAAAAATAATCCAGCATAACGCCTGTAGATAACCTTGTGGGTACGGAACTGAGAAAATAGTAACAATAAGATTTAACAATCTTATGAATTAACCTGAAAACTTAATTGAAATGAAGAATGAGGAAACCAAAATTTGTAGACTAAGGTGAGTAATACTTAGAAAGTTAGAAGGGATACCACAAGCAAATTATTCTAGAGCATAACTAGCAAGAGTGTAGAAGGGAAGGCAATTTCAATTTGTTTATGCAACAAAGAATAATGACACCAAAGGAGTGCCAATTACAATGAAAAAAAAAAAGGTAAGACAAGTTTCATGCCCAACGACCAAAACACTTTTAAGTCCCTTAAACAACAAAAAAAAAAAAAAAACTTGTTGACAAAGCTCATGCATGACTTATCTACAAAACCAAGGAATTACAACTGATGTTCTTGATGAAGTGATTGGCCCCTATTTTTAAAAATCCCCAAAAAATAACACTTTGATGGTGATCCCTACACTCCAATCTCTCTCTTTCTCTCTAGATGTAAAGAAGGGTTGTGTTTATCGTAAAATGATGGAGAGCAAAAAAAAGCTTGTTGGTTGTCTTTATATCATGAATGAAGGATAGAACATCTGAGTAACACCCCCTTGGCTGATGTTTTTTAATTGGCTTCCAAACACAGTAATGACAAATTTTGCATTGTTTTGATATACTGCATTGCAATACTAATGTCGCTTCTCATGTTCTGTCAACTGTGAAGGTAGTGCCCAAGTCCCAATCTTTGTGCGCAGCCTAGGTGGACCATGTCACGTGGATACTATCTGGATTAGTCAAAAATACATAATCTCTAGAAACACTTACCCCACTAAACTTTGCAAAGACATAATAACACATTGCCGAGGCTATGCAATGATGATCCAACTCATCTAACATCAAACAATATTTAAGAGACTAATAGTGGTATGTCACTTTTCTTGCTATGAAACAACAGGCAAGAAAGTTAAGGGATTGCCTTTTAAAAGGACTCCAGTAGTGTGAATACACTGAAAAAATGGGTTTAACAAACACTACCTATTTTTCTAACCATCATATTGATATAAAATCAACTCTAAACATCTTGCTCCCTCCCCACAAAGACAGATTAACTCATTTTAGAACTACCCTCAAATCTGTTGCAGAAGAAATAAAGGACGTAGTCAAAACTCACAAGAACTAGAGATTCGACCATGTTTGCTTTCCTAAACAATTTAGCACCAAAAAACCATAATTCACCTAGCCATCCATGACTTGGGAGTAAACAGTAGGCTACAAAGTCTTAGTGTATTCAAGTCCAAGATACGACCTCAATACACAACCATACCCTCTCTTCCACCCCGCCCCACAATAGCAAACTTTTGAATTCTGGAACAGTGGGCTTTCCGGAAGTTTGATTTCTGGAATTTTTGATATCTGATTCTTCATTGTTGTTGATTCATCTATTTATGATTATCAAACTCTCAAATCTTACTCCGATCCATCTCAATTTAGCTAATTGAGTTTTCTGCTACCGAAGAACGATTTCATTTCATACGATTATGGCGGTGTTGACTATATCCCCTTCCTTCCTTTTCTCCTTTATCCAAACAAGGGGGTTGAATTTCTTCCTCCCTTCACTTCCCTCATCTCCCTATCCCTTCCCTCCTCTTTCTTCCTAAATTTGTATCCAAACGAGCTTAAGTATTTTTTGCTCTTCTACTCTTTCTTTCATTGACACATTTTCACAACTATAATAGATGGTTCACTCAATAGATCATGAAACTTCCACAACTTACCTAAAAAACACCAAAATTTGGACTCTGTCAAAGGCAAACAATACTTTTCAAAGCATAACAATTCTCACTCATTCTACATCCATAATTGATGGTTCACTCAAAACATTAGAAAACTCACAACTAACCTAAAAAACCAAAAAATCATACCCAATTACGCATTTCACAAACAATACTAACAAATCATAACTATTCTTATCAATCTTATAAAGTTTAACCCCATCATATCTCAAGAAAATGCTCATACAAGTTAAAATCACGGCATTACAAACACAAATAATAATCCTCCAAAAATAAACCTTGAAAAGGGGGAAACACAAAGAACACAAACCTCAACAAAATTGGTGAATTTTGGGTCTCTATTTACAACCAATCGATGAACCTGAACAAAAATCATAAAAAATAATCCAATAAAAATCAATTTCAACCACAAATCAAATAAAAAATCAAACAAGTAGAGATGACAAGTGAAGCAAACCTCGTATTCAACTTTATGCTTCTCGGAATCCTCGAGAGGAACATAGTACTTTGCCAAACGCGTCTTTCCTTGTCTGTTCTGTAACAAAATGAATCGGATCTGCCATTTTTTTCCAGAAAAATTAGGGCACAGAAATTCAGAAAATTGAGATCGAGCTGATTAAAGAGTTAAAATTCATTACCATTTTTTTCTTCCTTGTTTGTTGTTGGGAGATCGGAAGTGAATGGTAGGTGAGAAGAGGTGAAATTTTCTCTCTCTAAATTAGATGTGTTCAACTTTGAATTGTGTAATGCCGGGAAATTAAGGAAGAAAAAGGCGCCGGCGACGAGAATTAGTGAAGAGGTAAACGGGTAATTGAGGTGCGGGGTGCAATTATTATTAGACCATTCTCAGCAGTGAGGAAAAAAAAAAACCTCTCAATCTCTCTCTACCCACTTTCTCACCCCTCCCATACAATTTCTCTCATCAAATGTTTTTTTCACCACAGCAATGAGGAGAAAAAAAACCTCTCATCACTTTCTCCTCCACTATTTTTTAATTTATTTTTTAATTACGTTTAAAAATAATTTAATAAAAATTTATAATTACGTTTAAAAATATTAATAATACTAACTGGAAATTTTTTTTATAAGAAATAATTATAATAATAATAATAACAAGAAGAAATTGGGAAAATATGTTAATTTCTCTAATTTATGGGTTTTTTTGAAAGTATATCAAAATGCATGTCTATTTATAGAGAAAAAAATTTTATGATCGTTGGTGAATTTTTTTTTTTTTTTTAAAATAATTACAACGGTTATATTTCAAATACAAAATATAACCGTTGTAAAAAAACAACAAAAGCAGTGGGGGCCACATGTTACTGTTCCTCACCAAAAGCCCTCAACTCTTGAGGGTTTTTATTTTCACTCATCGGTGAGTGTTTTTTCACTCACTGATGTAGTGTTCGGATTTTTTTTTTACACCCTTATTTTTACTCGTGAGGGCTTTTCTCCTCACTGCTGGGAGTGCTCTTACCGTCAACTCAAAAAAAAAAAAATTATTTTAACCTGTTTAACACGAGGTCAAATGGATATTTAGATGAAAGTAGAGGGTAAAGGATGCATTTTTATAGGATAATCAAAAGGTTGGATTTTTAAGGGAAAAAGTGCAAAGGTTGGATTTTCAATTTCTATTTTTCCTTTTTTTTTATTTTTTTTTTATTTTTTTCTTTTTTACCGAACAACTTAAATTGGTAGAGTCAAATATGTTATCGGCCTTGCCACATTGGTCAAAATTAGTCGAGAATCGTTTAGTTTATAACGGTTAAAGTTTCCAATAATTTTAAGGTCTTCATTTTTATTTTTATAAGGATGATGAATTGATGATACGACATGTAAATTTGTAACTTGTTTATTGCACTATCCCACTAACGACAAACCATATTAAGTATTATTGGCATGGTCGCACCCAAACTATAATTGGATGCAAATTGATCACTTCTCCAGAGAGCCAATGAATTGATGGGTAGTAAAAGAGTCAATAGTTGTCTTCAATATCTACCTATGTATGATTGTATCATTATAGTGGTAGGGTTGTAGGTTGCATGTAAAGATGGTTATGGGTTGTGCCTCGTGTTAAGTCTACGTGCTTTGGTTAGTTAAACTTGGCCTATGAGCAACATCGCAATGTCGAAATTTTCAAATGGTCATGCTTGGCTAGCGTGCCTAATCCAAATTTCTCTAATCCTAGCATGCTTTGTCGGGTTGTGCCATACTCTTTCAAATAAAGCAGTATGGGACTCAAGGTGTAGCCCACAATTCGGTTGTCGTGCCTCCACCGTGCCACGCTTCAAGCTGAGTCGGCCCAGTGCCATCTATAGTTGCATGTTTTCCATCTATAAATTTGGTGAAAAGGCTGGGACTAATATAATTATCTACCGGAGTAGCATCCAGTCATCCACATTATGTCAAAATTATACACAAACTAACATGAGACAAAATACTACAACGCAATTGCGAAAGGAGCAATGTCCAAATCAAAAGCGGGCTCAAAAGCAATCTAAATCTGATTAATTAGGTAAACCATGTCTACTTTTGAACCCAATTGCTAAGGATTAAGAGCAATTAAAAAGGACACCTCCTCTAACTAATTGCGATACTACTCTACAACCACAATGCAAATAACAAAAGTCTAGTGAAGTGGGAGCCAAGAAATGAAGCAGAAGCCACTACTACTACTACTCTCATCCCCATTTTATGATCCACTATATAACAATTTTAATCATTTCAATTAACAAAGTATAGTTAATATGGCATTATCAACTTAACTTCTCTTTTGTCTTTTTACCAATCAATATCATTGGTATAAAAAGACTCCATTTGTTTTCATCTTCATTAATTTCCAATGAAAGTTTTAGTTGACTACCAATTGATACATATATACATAACACAAGTTGTACACTTATACATCAATTGAGACATCGAGGTCAGGATGGAAAGCGAGCATGGGGGCGTGGTGGTCAAGGGAAGGGCGATCATTGATACACGGCCACCTTTCCGGTCAGTTAAAGAAGCAGTCGCGTTGTTTGGGGAGAGGGTGCTAGTTGGGGAGATTTATGCCAAGCAACTCAAAGAGGTTAGACATGCTTACTCTTTCCTACGAGATACATTATGCATGCTCGAATTTATGCAATAGATAGCTTAGGTACATTAATTTTTGTAAAAAAATATTGCATAAATTATGTATGTAGCTAGGAAGGAAAGGACGGTATTGTTAGTTTAAGTATGTTGTCCATATTCAGGTTTCGTTTTATATAGTGGTATCACTGGTATGAGTTAAAGTTATCATGACACAATTAATTAAAATACATAAATTAATTGACAAATTAAAGTAATTCAACAATCTTTCAAAATAATTTATATTTTACATAAGCAATCAATTCCTTCCAATTGGAATTATTGGTCACGACATTCTTTCGCCCTTGTATGGTATAATTAAGAATATATTGTTCCGTCAAAAAATAATTAAGAATATATTGTAACAAATTTATACAAAAACCTATAAATTAGGAGTATAATAGTTGTGTGCTTTTTTTTTTTTGGTACCCAACATTTATATTGAATTATGATATTATTAGAAAACCCAAACTCTATACTATTTTAGAAAATGTAACAATTTTTTTTTTCAAATTAAACATCTTAAATCATAGTATAGGACATATAATATATGCGACTATTTAGACGTGCAGTTAGCTATAATGTATAGAAAAAGTATAACATTGTATGCTGACATGTTTCAATTCCAACTTGATACATATATGCTTAAATGTAGATACAACAAGTGCCCAAGAAGGAAGATTTGGAGGAAAAAAAAGTGGAAATCGTATCGAGTGAATTAGAAGAAACGAAGCAAAGTCTACAAAAAGCAAGAGAAGAAGGCAATTACATGGCAAATTGTCTAAAATCACTAAAACAACAACTTGAAGAAACAAAGAGAGAGCTTCATACTTTGAAAGCTGCAAAAGATGTGGTAAAAGATCATCATCATCACACGAAAGCAATCAATCCGGAGATTGAAGAGCTCAAATTTGTTGAGACTAACGCTAATAAATTCGATAATAATAATCGCGGTATTAGTTATGATCATCAACAAGAATTATTCCAAAAGAAAAAGTTTGTAACATTTGCAAGTCCACCCTCTTTAACTAGAGAAATCAAGCAAAATGATGAAAGAACAAGCAAGTTGGAAAGATCTTCTTCTTTTAGGAAGGATGGAAAGAAAAAGCCGAGTGTTGCAATTATGGGATGGCTTTTTTCTAGGAAGAAAAGAAGTGATGAAGGTAATCTCGAACGTTCTCCTAAAGTTTGAAGAGCTAGCTAGTAATGAATAAAATTACCTAGCTAGCTACCTCGGTCTGGATTTAGAAATTGCATTATTATTTAAAATTATACTATCAACGTAATAGTTGATTTTGGCAATGGAGTGAATAATTGTAATTTCAATCAAGATTGAGGGATAAAAAAAATAGTATTGGATATTGCGATAACGCATACTCCATATATCTTGGAGTGTTATATCCATTTAGGTTTTCCAAATTTTGTTTATTACTTCGTGCTTCTTCAATTGAGCAACACCATATGCCAATATGATTGGACATTACTTCTATGTTACAATTTCCAAAGAGTATTTCTTTTTGATATTGATGAAATATATTCTCTCTCCTTCAATCAATTATGGAGTATATCAAAGCAGAAAAGCTAAATGGTCTAAATGGGTTGATTATTTTTTTTTAATTTTTTTTTTGTAAAAAGCATAGGCATGAAAATAAAAAGAAGAAAGTTGCAATTGTAACCATGGGACTAAAGGTGGGCATGACTAGGCTAGCACGAGGGTCTGTAAGATAAGGCACGAAAATGGGTTGATCAAATATGGGTGTGACACGATATGAAAAGCAGGTAAGCGGATATATATTGTACACGATCTATAATTTTCAAGAAATAACTCAAAAGGATAATAGAAAAATTACATTTTAAAGAACCAGTCAATTGTAATAAATACGAAGTAAAATCTTAATTTTTTTTTGAAAGAAGTAAAAGCTTAATCAATTACATTATACTAAAGGCGAAACCAGAAATAACACTTGTTATTTTCTGGTTAAAAATTTTCCCGCCTTTGTTTTCTTTCCTTTCCTTTTTTTTTTTTTTTTTTTTTTTTTTTTTTTTTTTTTTTGCCAAATTTTAATGACATCCATTTTATAACCTACAATAATACTTATTTTCATTTTTACAATGTATTTAATCCAATTATACTCATAAACTAATATACCAATCAAATCAAATCAAATATACACCCATAAACTAACATAAGAAAATATATACCCATAAACTAATATAAGAAAATTTATACATAGTAAATATATCAACCATATCGTTCACAAAACAGAAATAATGAGAAAAAGCAGAATAAAATCTTAAATATTGTAATATAATTTTTATACTCCATAATACTATCTAAATATAGTTTTATTTGTATTTTATTTTTATATATATCCATTTACCTTTAAATATTAATTTTATATGCATGATTAACAATGGAAACAAAATTTTAATTTTCCATATTTATATAAGATATTTACACTATATAAAAACCATATATAATCATTGATCACGACTGATTTGGGTTTTAAATCTTTATTATATTGTTTAACCATTATTATACTGTTTAACCATAATTTTCATTCATTTATGGCTAAAAATTTATTATTCATCAAGGACATAAGTTCTACTACTGAAAATGTAACCTTGCGAGTTACAGTCATCCGTTTATGGGCACAATCGTTCTCCATTCCTGCTAATATCTATTCTATTGAGATGGTGTTATTGGATGAAAAGGTATTGTTGTGTTAATTATAAAATAAATAAATAAATAAAATTTAACATACAATGACCAATTGTATTTCTTCGTATACTATAGTTTGTTATTACTTTTAATTGGGAATCATCACTCATTTCCTTATCCATATTGATTAGATGCTATTGTTTAGTTTTTTCTATGTTAAGTGCTATTATCCCTCTTTAGGGACCTGCCCCTCTTTCTCCTCAATAATAATAATAAAAAATATTTTAAGATAATGCATGCACTCCACAATACTATTAAATATGTGTATTATACGACAAGTAACAATTAAAATTCTTAAGCAATGGTAAAAGATTTAAGAAATGGTCAGATTTAGGTCCGTGCAAATTATTATTCATTTATAAAACGTTATTGTCTAAATTATTTTGTCCTTATAAATAAAATATATGTATTAATGTATATAATTATAAGCATGGTTAAACATTTACTAATTTAATTTCCAATTCTCCGTAAAAAAAAAAATTAACAATAGTCATTACAAAGAGGTCTTATATAACGACCATAATAATAATAATAATAATAATAATTATAATAATAATAATATAATAATAATAATAACAACAATAATTCAATTGTATTCGTGCATGGCACAGGGGTCTTACACTAGTTGATGATTAAGTAAAAAAATCTTGAACCCAAAAATGAAGTATTTGTTAGAAAATTTAGAGTGAATGTTGGAGAGCCGCGCCCGCGGCCTTGGCAGCCGCGCCCACGGCGGATAGGGAGAGCCTTCTCCAAGCCCGCGGCCAGCCATCTATAGAAAGAAGAAATTTTACATCTCCCTCTGTCCGCGCCCGCGACACTTCGACAGTTGCAATTTCTTTCGTTCCTTTTAATGAAAATTGGACAAAAGAAGGAGATAGGATACTCATATTTTTCAGTTTTCTTTCTTCCCCAAAAAGTTCTCTCTCCACACTTTATTTGAAGAAACTTGCAATCTCTTCATCTAAACCTCTATCATTTTAAGTTTTCTTTGAGAATTTGATCATCTTACTACCATTCTTAGTGCTAAGATCGTAGTGTTCGTCTATTGTATCTCAAAGTGAATTTCCGATTCAACCCAAGCACCGTTGTGGGGGAAATAATCGCTTTAGGAAAGTGTTTACACGCCTTAGACGAGTATCAAGTATTGAAGACTCATGTGGTCCTTGGTATTCTCATGTTATTGTTGGATTCATTGGCTTGGAGTAAGGCAAGTGTATATCTTTCATACTTGTAGTTTAGTTTGATTTTATCTGTAATTTTCATTCTAGACTTGTTTTGCTTTGATTGTATGTGTAATTGAATTTATACGTATATTGTAATTTTCTTATTTTCCCTTATTTTCGTTGTACTAGAGTTTGTACAAGTAGGAGTATTTCCTAACAGTATTTACATTTAGTAATGGTTTGGTTAGTTGGTTCAAGTAAATTTTGAGCCCAAAGGCATCACGTTGTAATAATATACGCCTTGGTTTGTTTGAATGCGGTGTGAGCTTGATATTTTTCGAACATTGAAGTACGATGATAGCCAGCATCCATGAAGCTTAAGAGGGCATAATCAGCGGTCAAGTCTACCCTGACAATCTTAGGCAAGGGATGATAATCTTTCGTACAGGCTTTGTTTAAATCCTTGAAATCAACCTATTTTTATTTAATCCAATTTCCACATTCTTATTTCATATGATTTTTTGGACAACTCTTATTTCATTTGATAATAAAATATTCTCTTAATTATATTCTGATATCAAAAATGAAAATTGTTTTATTGATATTCTCTATATTTTAAATGTTTCATTCAAACTTTCTGCAATATTCACATAAAGTTAGAAGCGCACTTGGTATTAGATGAGATGAGATATATTCATATATATCATTCTAAGCAATATTCATATATATATCATTCTAAGCAATATGTTGAGATCCTAAAATTGAAAAGGTTGATCGATCATTCTTGAAAAGGAAGTCTAACTATGAATTATTTCATTCTTAAAAAGGTACATTGTAAGGGTTATGATCAAGTGCGTAGCGAAAGGCTGGAAGATATAGAGATGTAGAGATTGAAATAATCAATCGAAAGATACCTAACACGACAAACTAATTATTCCACATACGAATTCTTTAATATATTTATGTTACAAGTAGAAAATATAGATAGGCATGCATGATTTATTGGCCACTAACAATACAAAACCAAATCAAACTATTCACTAAACTAAAGATCGATGCATACCAAAAATTTAAAATAAAAATCTAGGGATGTTTCTATGAAGACAAAATTAAGTTGTTATATAGATTATCCATAATTTATCATCCTCCTCTCTTCAAAATCACATTATATATTGTGCACTTTTGAAATAAATTTATAGTTGCATTTTTTTGATACACAAAGTACTACTTCATCTGTTATATAACTTATATAGTTACATGGTATTTGGTTCATGATAATTTATGTGGATGTCAATTAACTTAATTGATTAAAATTTAGGTAGTAATACTCAAGACCTGAGATCAAATTCCTTTCACTATTCTACATCGCAACCCTTATAACTCTCTTTATCAATTTTTTTTTAAAAATAAATCATACTAAATCATGATATATATTCTAACCACTTTTTAAATTTTCCAAAAGGAAATTTTATACAGATTTAGTCATGCGTTCCTTACTGCCATAAGTCATACTAAATCATGACACAAAAGTATAAAACTCTTACCATTTATTTTTTGGTTACAAATTATGTCATGCGTGCACCTACTACTCAAGCAGAAGGCCACAATTAAGAAAATGACAAGTACATAGAAATAAATAAATATATATATATATATATATATAAATATATATATATATATATAAATATATATATATATATATATATAAATATATATATATATATATATATATATATATATATAAATATATATATAAAAAAAAAAATATATATATATATATATATATATATATTTTTAATGAGTCAAAAATGTCAACTCTTATCATCTCATACTATCTTTCTAGCCCCCATATAAGGATTCTCTCTTCCATACACAACACACTCTTTCTTCTTCTCTCTTTACTCACTAACCTTGCTTTAACTTAATAAGTACCTTCCAAAATATCTCCACTCCATATTTGAAACATCCACATATTATATCATCTACTTATGTATAAAAATTCGCAAGTTTTATTTGTTCATACTTCCTCCACGTGTGGTAGACTGTATTTTTTTTTTTTAAAAATAAAAAATACTTTATGCTACGTTAAACTGGTTTGAGTTTGAAGATTAGGCAAATTATACTTCGTTAAAAGTAGGAAAGATGGTACTCCACAACAAGAATTCCTACCCAAAGTGTCATGTAGGTTTTAAATCTTTTAATACTTCGTATTACAATTTCAAAACCCTCATATACAATGTTTTTAGTGAGATGACATTCTCGATAAAACTCAACTAGAAACCAATTATTGCCCATGAAAAACTAAATATTATGCATAAGATGCACTTAAAATCCGTAAGTTGAAAAATTCAACTTAAACAATTGATATGCAATCATAGCATCGAGGATGGGAGGTTAATTCCTAAAAGAGACTATCCTACTACTGATCTCACTTGTGGAATACGTAGGTTCTAATGAAGATGACCCGACCCCATGACTCTTGAATCTAATTATACGCAATTTATTCCAACACCTACCACCTTCAAGTTCTTTGTCACGACAAGGAGACACGGAAGATTGTACATGTTAAAGAGTGAAGAAGAAAGGTAAAATGCATCCCATGTATTGTTTTTGAGGTCCAAGAAGCATAAATGAACAACCCATGAGCGTCTTATGGCTAGTGTCTGTGATAGATTTTGTTAATCCTCATATATGTCTTACTTAGCAGGTCGTGATGTACCCCCACTCCCTGGTATTGTTATTGTGTTAGTATGGTTAAGAGAGTTAAACTCTCTCTTTGTATTACTTGCAGTCTCGAGTCGGTTGCGAACTAGTCTTCTTTTATCCAATCTAATTCGACCTATTGTTTGCTAATAACTTGTCCACCTAACACCATTTACAAACATTTTTCGGCTATTTCACCAAATGCCACTGAGTAATTGCGAAATTCACCAAATGCCATCCAACTTTTCAAAATTCACCAAATGCCGTCGAATTTTAAGAAAATTTACCAAATGCCATTAATGACTAACGGCTGTTAGTTGACCGTTAGTTGACCCACCCCCTTGCCACGTGTCACCTTCTGATTGATCCTT